ATGGCCTCCAACCTAATAGCGATGCCCTTGTTCCTAGTAGCTTCTTGTTACTAATAGTAAGGCCAGGAGCTACTAGTAGCATCCTTGCTCCTAGCAGCGATGCCCTTTGTTACTGGGAAGCGGAGATCACCAGATTTCTGGTTTTTCCAACGGTTCCACTGGAATCGTCGAAGGACCGGGTCAGTGGGGGATGATCATCCCACTCTCACGACTACACCGCTACACCTGGGCAGGCAAAGTCTCAACCGAACCACTCAAGCGGCAACGTGCAACATTGTCATCATTCCTTTGTCTTGCAGACTTGTGCTGGAGGACCTCCAAACATCTCAGATTGAGTGAAAGCAACTATGCCAAAGGGTACCTTCAGTCAACAGAATGGACATTCGTCACCAGTCTCAGTGGTCGTCGTCTGTATACTGTATCGTCCCCCCTTGTCAAGAGGCTACCCAGCAGTCGAGTAGTGAAGCAGTGCTTCGTTCAAACTCCCTTGACCGGTCACCCTCAAAATACCCCGTGGACAGGCAGTGGGATCTGTTCGATATGAAAAACGAGAATAGCAGATCTAGTTCTATTTTGAAGGTATATTTAAACACAAAGTCAATAAGTCGGACACCCTACAAATACATCCTTCATCATCTTTCAACCTGACGTCCGTCGGGTTGGAACTCACCTGGCGCTTCTGCTCGGCACGCCTCTGCTCGACGCGCGAGGATGGACACAACCGGTACAGAAATCCCCCAGATTCAATGCAGGTACATCCTCAAGTACGAGGTTGAACTTCTGTCTTTGCAGCCCGAGACTGTGTTCTCATAGGTTTTGGGTTTGGGATGGTTTTGGGCTCCTCCTCTTCAAACACTATTACTATATATTTATATCATATATAGAGGTTTTTTGAGTTGATGGAACAATTCTGCTTGACGGACATCAACTGACCCATCAATCCTTTCCAGAAGCTGCCCCCCTCCTTTTAACAGCATGCTTGCTTGCAACTGCTTAAGCTTGCACACGCATTTCCTTTCCCACTGCGCATGGGTTTCTTTCCACTCCTCGCCTCTCCTCTTCACGCGCCGCCGCTGCGGCTGCCGCTTGCGCCGCTTGCGCCGCTTGCGCTTGCTTCTCTCGCTCTGCCTGGACTCGTCTCGAACAAAAGAATCGCAAGAGTCGGAGCAACATGACATGGCTCTTGCGGCGGTCCACAAAGATCTTCCACACAGCACAACTTGTTCAGATCGGACCTCTGCAGAAAGCGGAAAGCAAACTCTGATTTCAACGCAGCCAGCCCCCCGCCCGTGCTTCAGCTTCTTTCCGCCGGCGTTCTTCTGCCTTGGGGCCGTGAAGAATGTGAAGACCCGAGGCGTGGTGGAATCCTCAACCAAACACACACGGACTCAAACTCGGTCTGCAAAAATAACACAAAAAGGATCAATAAGTTTGAATTTCCTTCAGTGATCCTTCTTTTTTACCGTCAATGGCTATCTGGGCTGCCTTCGTTTCATCCTGGTTTCGTCGTCTTGGTGTTTGCTCTAACTCCAACACCGGCCAAAAGCGAGGCTTCAGATCGACCACTCAAGACTTATTATTTAGGAAGCTACTAAGTGGAGGCCATCGCTACTAGAAAAAAAAAAACAAACTCACCCCAACAAATGCACGCACCAACTCGGTCAGGGCCCACTTCAACTCGCGAGGCTTTCAAACTGAACTCCGCGATGCGTCGCTCGTGTGGAAGGACTGCCAGCTTATGGCATGCCCAAGAGATCTCTCACTCGTGCATCGAATCTTTCAATTTATATAATTGTATTGATTTTGTTGCTCACAAACCGACGAGCCCTATTGGTTCTTGCGGTCTTGCGCGCATTTTCAGCTTCTCTTTTCTCTCTTGGGATCAACAGCTGCTTTCGCCAAACACTCATTCGAGTGTCTCACGTGCAGCACAGTGTGGCACTCAGTGCATCAGGATAAGAAGCAAAGCGTCCCATGTTGATTGAGGGACATCTTTGTTGTTCCCACTAATCGATGCCGTTATTCGTCACGCAAAATACCCTATAATATTTGATCTGCCAAAGTTGCCTCTTCTTCCCTTCTTCTTGCAGCAGCCTTCGCTTTTTCCTGCCATCTCGTTCCAACCCAAAAAACCAGAGAAAAAACAACACCCCAATTTCGATCCACAGCTTTTAACCACCAAAGAGGCCAAGGTACGGCAAGCAGGGTGCAAATCAATCTAGCCTTAGTATCTTAAGTATATACTACAGCATACTACAACCGTCAATCACACAGTCAGAACTTGAACTGTTAGCCCCGCCCACCCAAAGGGTCCTTGTCCTGGTAGGAAAAAGCATTTGGGTGCTGTATCCTCTGCACGGGACTCCTAACTAAAGCACCTCTACACTGTGTTTTCAACAACACCCCAGTTCGCGTAGAGCAGTCGTTACACCTCCTTCTTCTGCCGCACATCGACACCTTAGTGTGTTTCATGGCCCATGTTCAAGCCCAACAACGGTGACTTATATATGTATATATATATAGGATCTATCTATCTATATATATATATATAATGACTGACTATATAATGAGAAAACTCGTCATAGTGTACACCCCTCATGGTAGCGGTACCAATTTTCTTTTATTGCACTAGTAGTTCCATTCAAAGACACATTCCTTACCCCACAACATGGTAAAACTTCATCATACGTTTCTTCTTTGTTCTCTCAAATCTGTCAGTTCTGGGGTAATAACTCCGTTGAAGATCCCCTGCATGCTCGATGCTCCAGCGCATCGACCGATGCGTGCGTTGAGTTTGTTTCATGTTTTTGGGGCCCCCGGCGACCCTGATGGCCTCGCCAAGTGGATTGCAACCTGCATGGCCCACCATCCAGCCGATGGATGAGAAAACGGTGTGGTTCTCCGGTGTTCCAACGGCGCAGGTGGGTATGGACGGTGACTCTATAGACTCTAGAACACACACACACACTTCGACAATTTGTATTCAGTTAGCTCAATTTCTCCGATGGG